CTTATCCTGCTTGGTCAGCTTGTGAATTTGATCTTAGGGAGTTTTATGTGATATCAACCTTTAACAATCCATCCAAATATATTCCATCTAATGTATCTGAAACTGCAGTAACTCATCAGCAAAGTAATCAAATAAATATAGAAGTGAAAAATAGCCTAAATAGAAGTTTGATTACTTCAGAATAGAATAGAAAGCCTTTATTGTTAATATACAAAAAACATGCAACAAAACTATGTGATTGCTAGCTGAACAGTGCAAACAGAAACTGACAAAAGGGCACAAAATAATATTGCACTTAAAATAATATTGCAATAAGAGCATGCAGTTAAAACGTATAATACCTTAAAAACACATCCTTTTGCACCTGTACTGCAGTCTGCAGGGCAGGAAGTTCAATAGGTGGTATCCAGGGTGGAAAGGGTCTTTTGATTATTTTGAATACTTTATATCTTCAATTGTACTGAGGTAAAATTCTTGGGTAAACCTAATTAGCTTAACCTAATTTCATTCCACCACTGATTTAATAAAGTTGGAGATGGAGATGTGTTGCCTTAAATGGGACAGCCACACATTCTCAACCAGAAAGTAGGTCAGTATCATCTGATTTTGATAGATTCATTTCTAGAGTTATAAAAGCACTGCAGCAATTTCATGCCTTGAGGGACAACGGCATTTCTTGCTTTTAGAAAGATAAAGCAGTTATCTGAAAAGATGTACTAAATGTGTGAAGGACAAGAAATAGAGGAAGGGAAGTAAAACATTTTCAAAGAAAATCTGATAATTGCTGTGGCCATGGAAACAACAATCAGGCTCAGCTGGATAAAGAGAAATGAACAGAATTGCGTAACCATGTCACTGTTCCATAGTAATCTTTTTCTCTGCATGTGTGTGTATGTGCACACTGATGTACTTTGTGCACAAGTAGAACCTCACTTCACTTTTGAAAATGCTAAAATCAGGGGATAACTGTTTGGTGACCTCATTCATTATAATCTGTGTGTAGAGATTACACAAAGAGGGATTACACTAAATATTGTTCTAGTATTGTTGTACCCAGATTAACGTAACATATAATTACTCTATGTTCCCATACTAGTGTAATTTTCTTTCCTCTCCCATAGAGAACAAGATGTTTTCCAGTGTTGGTGATGACCGGTCCGAGAAGTCGTCTTCTTCTCTCATGGATATCCAGGCTGTGGCCAGTGATCCAGAGGAACTCAATAAAGTTAACCCACTTCATCAATTTGTTGCATTTAACATTGGTTTTAAAAATCACCCTGTTCCCCAAATAGAATAATGTGTGTGGCACTTTCATTTTAAAGCAATTGTATTGTGTAATTGAGTACGATGATGTCTGCAGCTTCATGTCCCAAAGCCACCCAAGGGCCATCAAAATCCAGTGCTCACATCATGTGTGGGTAAAATTAATTCAGTGAAGCTGGATGCTGACTCCCAGTCTCTGTGCTACTCAGGTAAGTTGTATTCCTTTGCCCTTGTGGATAATGGGATACAATTTCCTGTTGCTTAAGGAGATGTTAATCTGATCATAATATGCATCTTGCAAGCTAAAGTTAGTTTATTTCTTCTCCTGTGCTTTTAAGGACTGGAGGGGCTTCGCTTTGATGATCAAGGAATGGTTCTTCCACACAGCATCCTGGGTAGTTTAGAGGATTTCAGAACTTATCTTGAGGTCAAAGGGGAGACAGAGGTAAATTCAGAAGAAATGTACTTTGCTCTCAATCTGTAACCCAACACATATAACATAAATAATTTGACTTTGTTCCAGTTGGTGAAGCAAATACCAAATTCCCAGAGAGATGCTTCATATGAGATCCAAGGGAGGCATCACTGTAAGGCAGTGGAGGAAGAGCGTGAGCTCTCGTTAGGCCACAGAAACATCCAGGGTAATGCCCTGCAGAATTGGCAAACACATATGAGGCAGCGCAGACAGCAACAGGACCAATTATCCAGTGAGTTGATTTGAGAGCAGTATTCACATCATTATTGCAGTTTTAACCAGAGTACAACTGCAGGTTTCTAATTGGTAGCAAATTAAAGAACTGGATATTCTTGAATCTTATGCTTTTCTATCAACAACTCTACTTTTTTCAACTCTGTCAAGACTTGCTCCACAGACCAGTCGAGATGTTACTGATGAACCAAGACAACCGTTTCAGAGAAACCCAGGAGCAAAAGGAATTTCTAAACCAAGTCATGCCGCTTATCCACTCTAGATATGTATGACACACATTTGCCTACTCTTTTCTGCTGTGCCTTTAGCCATCTGTAGTTCTCTACTATCTAAACTCACTCAAGCTCAGTCACCATGTTCTTCCTCACACGTTTGACATGTATGTCTTAGGGTTATCGTGTTGGTGATGAGTTCTGGACTCTCCCCCAGCGTTATGGGGACGAAATGAGCGGCATCACAGCCACTCTGACTCAGACAGAGCAGGGCAGACGAGAACCTGTCACACATATCGGACAACCAAGCAGCATACGACAGGAATTGGGTAGGCCACACACAAACACACACAGACCTGTGTCCCAATCTTTACCTATAGTGTTTATTTCAACCCTGTTCCCTTAGTTGTGCATTCATCTTAGATTTATTTGTGTCTCAGATGTCTCCATGAAATTACACTTAAGGTGTCAACCACATGTGACCACTTTGAAACGAGTTCAAATTAGAATTTTCACAGTGTGTGATGACTGGTTTTATCTGAACAAAGAAGAAGAGGACACAGTGGCCCTCTTATTCAGAAAGTTACTTTCTCTCTCACACAAGTTTCTAAAGGGAGAGATGGTAAAAAGCTTTAGATACACACACACACACACTCACACAGTGGCTCTGGAGGTAGAGCGGGTTATCAACTAACCACAATGTTGGTGGTTGGATCCCTGGCTTGAGCAATTGCAGTATATAGATGTGTGTGTGAATGGGTGACACACACAACTCACATACACACCTGCATTCGGCCACTCTTAAGACTGACTGTGTCCCTTCTGTGGGAACAATTTCATCCTCTAGGAATAAGATGTGCTGAGAATCTGCGTCCAGCCTCTCGGTCTTGGGAGCAGAGTGCATACCTACAACACCAGTACCAGGAGCTGGGGGAACTTCTACAGGACATGGACTTTAAGAAGCCTGTAAAACATTCATTATTCTTAACATTTATCATCAACATATATGTATAATTTATATATATATATAGCATCAAAAGTCCAATAACTATGGGACTGTATTTTTAAGTATAGCCTTGGATGTATTGTGTATGTGTACAACATTAGAGGTATGAGGCCTGCTGCCACCAGCATGCTCTCTGGAGTAATTACCTCCACCAAGGAGGATGTTTCAGTCTGTTTGTTTGTCTGATCTTTAGTAAAATTACGCAAAAACTATTCAAACTATTTCCATGAAATTTTGTGAAGGGCTGGGACATCAGAATCAGTAAAGACTATTCCGGTTTCAGGAATTTTTGTTCACTTACTGTAACGTAATGAGACAGAGCGGTTTTTTGTTTTTTTACATTTTCATTGATTTCTCCGAAATCATGGGAATTATCAGACGTTTAGGGAACTGAGTTTTGTGTGCAATGTGGTGCAGATCCATTTAGAAATCTGGATCTATTGAATTTAAATGTGGTTTCATTGGGGGGCTGTTCGGCCTTGGCTGAAGTATGCACTCTTGTTAGAACTGTTTGTTCTATGGTTGTTAACATTTTGGCAAACTGGAACCGTGAGGGAATGCAGAAATCATTATTAGAGGTTACTGTTTGTAATGTGCCCATTCATATTCAGACACTTATTACTGGAGTACTTAAATGCTGAAGAAAACTATATAATTCCTAGGGATTTATTAGGATCATCTTTTTTTCTTGGAGTTTAAAGCAGCTTTACCTATCCCTTGTTAAAGATTGACACAGATGAGATTCGCCTGATCGAGATTGTATATGTTTTTGTATCAAACAAACAGCTTCATACTCGTTGTCCAACCACACAGCACATTTAGGCCGAACACACCCTCAGGACACTCTGTCTTTTCTGCTGGAGGGACTAGCTGCTCATAAACAGTTTGTATTCTCAGAGACAGCCTGTGATCATCCAGCTTTGTGCGCACTGGTTTGGGTTTTCTCTACAGGGAACAAACTACAGAACACAGTGAAACAAGCTTACGCACATGTGCACCCACACAAACACACACAGGCACGTGCGTGTGTAGGCGTATACACACACTAGATACACAAGCAAAATGTTCACATTATACTATGATATATTTCATTGCTTGAAAAATTTGCATCTATAACACAGACACATTATGAGATTGATTAAGCTCTGCAGCTGTTTCATAAACACTCGTGCCTTTTCACATACATGCCGACCTAGAGATGGTACAGTTATGAAATCTGGAGCGTGTCCATTCATAGAGTAGGGTGTTTGGGACCAGTGGCGTACTGGAGCCCGAGAAAAGGGACAGAACCTGCCTCACTGCTGTTTCTGAATTACAAAGACTTCATTAGCATGGGCAGGAGGTTCTGGGATAAACACTTAAACACAAATAAACACAGATGTGCACTTCTTTGCACAGCCAGTTCCCATTTAACGCAGTTAACACACAAAGTAATAGATGTTGGTTCTGGGGAGGTTTATTCAAATTTCATCTTAATTTGTCACTGGATTTTCTTCACTCTTTCGCACTTTCAAACCCACACAAAGACACGTCTGTCCCAGTGAAAAAACAGAAAATGGTTGCAGTGTGTTCTGTCATGCTGGTGGTTAATGTGATGCTGAGGCAATTACAGGTTTGAAGTACCTTCTGATACACAGACAGAGACAGATCGTCCTGTCAGATCGCTCATGGCTTCGTGACATACGTGCAAAGAGGGAGAACAGGGGGGGACAGGGAGGGGACGCTAAGGGACAAAACAAAAGTGGGAAAGGAAGTTTAATTTAGAAATCCAGAAAAATTTGAGCGACACATTAGATGAATGGATTTGTTAGGGCCTTTTTCACAGCAGACATTTTGACTAGCCACAGTCAGAAGGACCCAAGTGTTCCTCATCGGAAAGGTACAGGTGTTGTTTGTTCCGACCGTACCGTACATTAGAAAAACAGTTGCAAAGCATTTTTGCTCAAACTAATAGGCAGTTTCATTGTAATAAGCTCAACTAGACCAATAATAGCCTTGATTTCTGATTGGTTGAATATTTCTAGTCATATTTCATACTTTATTTGACAGTGCCTTTCTAAACATCCAAGAACACCATCTAATACATCATAAATAAACACATGAATAATTTAAGTAAAACCAAGGTTAAAGTTTAAGGGGCATAGACACTATACACTGTACATCACATGTCAACACAAGAGTGACAAAAAGTAAAACCAAGGTTAAAATCTAATTAGTGAGTGAGAGATAAGATCCAAGCAAACTTGGACTGAACCAGGATTCAAACTGGGAACCTTTTCACTGTGAGGCATCAGTGCTAATGCCGCCCGCATTGAGAGCACACTAGTCTTTATTTTCATGTATCATTGTACTTAATGTGCTCAAAACATACTTTTGTAGAGTTTTCAGTGAACAAATGTTTGAAACAAATAAAATGGATGGAGTTTAAATGAAATTCACGTCCATTACAAGATAGAGCTTGAAAGCGAGTGGGCATTTCAAGACTGAGCCACATTAACAGTTTTCTGAAAACATTAGCAACAGCTCTGTTCTATCCATGAGCCCAGATAAACATTTTGATTTATTCACATCATGTTTTTGGTAAACCCTCTTCTGTTAAAAAGGCTGCTTGTTAACTTCACTCAGAACCTTTCCACGCAACAATATAGAGATAGTGCTTTGCTGGACATACAGTTAGAACTAAGTAAAGAACAAATGTAAATTTTTCAGGATGAAGGGGAGTGTAAGTACACCTAAGCTTTCACTTTGCCAGTGGTAAATGGACAGTGTGTTCCACCACTCCTCATCCTCCTATCAGATGCCTAATTTTGCCGTCTCCCTCTGTACTTTCTGTATGTGAGTGGACAGAATATTTATCTTTTGAGACTGGACTGAAGAGGACGTCGGGTATTATTATAATAGGATCCACAATGTTGAAAGGAAGCATGCTGACCTTGTCCTGGAAAACCAACTCCTCTGTGTCTCTGATTACAGGACATCAGTGGACTGGAGGTGATCGGCTTTGGCGAGCCATTCGTCACGGGGTGTCGTAGTCCCTCACCGGAGAGGGAATGTGAGAAGGAGGAGGAGCACAAGGAGGAGAAGAAGGAGAACTTGTAAGAAAAAATAAACTGGTGATATGATATGATCAGATCAAACTGACAAAGCCATCCCTATTTCAAAGACACTAAGAAACACAGTCAGTGTTAATGATGTAAATTATTTGATGTTGCAATCAACTTATCAATTGAGTCAGCTGCTACATATGTCATCCAAACTGCTTTAATCACAAGTAAATATTGGACGGCAGACTAGTCTTTTATCTAAGCAGCCTAGATATGCTCTTAGATTATAATGAAAATTATAATAATATCAACAATGATAATAATAGTAATGATAATGTATTGTAGAGACATCTTTATGTTACGACATAACATTAAATTTAGGGAAGCTTCCTGGACTGAGCTACATTCAAGAAAAGAATGAAAATAACTATTCGAATTCATCTTATGACAAGTTCATCTTATTTAAAAACCTGCAGACTCTACATTAAGCTGGTGCAGTTTGTAGAACACCTTCTTTCCCTTCCTGGCCGTCAAGACTAAAACAGTTTTTATATTTTTCTCCCAAATTCAGGGCATTTCTAAAACCGCCTCCAGAGTGTATGAATCCTATAAATCTGCTCTGCCGTTTTTTTAGGGTGTACGGGTAAAAGGAGCTTTTGCGAACAATGGTGTGAGGGTCGGGGCTATGTGGGGGTACATCTGCTTTACATTATATTTAGTTAAGAAGAAAACTTAACTCTGTGATCAGTCATTACCTCCTATCTCCTTTGTTATGTTTGTTTGTTGTCAGCAAGATTACACAAAAACAACTGAACGGATTTCCACGACACTTGGTTGAAGGATGTGGTATTGGTCAGGGAAGAACTTGTTACATTTTATGGCAGATCAGGATCAGGAGGCAAATCCAGGAGTTTTTTTTCACACTCTCACACGTATTTTTAAAAAAAGAGACATTAAGGAAACTGATTTTGAGTGTGTGAAATTTGATGCAGCTTATTTTTATTTAGGGGACAGCTGTTGGATCTTGGTAAAGGTATATGCTGAATGTCAGTCTCATTTTAAATGTGAAAGTGTCAGATCAGATCAGCTGCTGTCATTAACCTGAATTTATCTGTTCATTTTGTCAGACCACATCACACCCATGTAGTAAGGACTTTTTTCTGCTTAGCTTTGTCCGTCCTACTCCTTCCCAGATGTATTTTAATTGTTCTGATCTTTACTAAAACTACTTGTTGTGTGGAAGCAAACAGCCTTTTTAAAATTCATTTTATTGTGGTCCTAGTCTGAGTGATATTGTCGTCTTTAACAGTGATCCACTGGCGCAGAGTGATGAAGCTCGGTCAGATGTTCTGCTCGGTCCTGCCTTGAGGTTCTGTGGCCAGCTTGCAACGTGGACTGGAATCTCTGCCACTAACCAGGTACAGACTGGTCTTTACACAGTGAACCGGTCTGTGTGTATTGATTTAAACTAAACCACAACTACTGTGATCTCTCAAATAGCGGTTGGGGCCTTTATTGACTTTGGTGGCGAGAGAAGCAGATCTTTGTTAAAGACAGGCTTTGAGTACAGCAGGAGTCATGTTAGCATTTTACTTTTCCTGTTTTTTTCTGTAGCAATGTTAAGCCACCATGAATACAACTCAGCCCTAATGATTGAAAACCCCTTTCGGCTTTGACTGTGAATCAAAGAAAACATTAGGAAGTGTTTGGTTTTGTTGACAGGATCTTGACATCGATCAGGAGCACATCAAGGAAGATGCAACTGAGATTGATTGGATCTATTGTATCTATCTAATAATTCCAGAAATCTCTGTCTGTCTATATTTTGCTTGCATACTTAGAGAACCGTTATCTTGAATCATCTCATCTCGAATCTTATCTTCTTCAAACTTGGAAAGAGCAGTGTTGAATTTGGGATGATTTGGACACATGATATGTTCAATACAAACTTTGAACAGGTGACCAGCTCTGTAGCAGCAGCAGCTGGGAAACATCAACGTCTCCACAACTGATATAGAACTAACACCGTACTAGTGAAAAAACGTAGAAAATATTATTTCTGACTCTGCTGTACAGCTTTTTCTTTGAGTCTTTAGTCAACCTGTATTTTCCAACACTCGTTGATCAGGGAGAAGTAGGAATCAGTGCCACAATAATGTTTGAAGCCCTGACTGGAGAAAGAGCCTGTTCACATTTGGAGATGCACAATGAGGGCACCACGGCCATTTTCTACAGCTGGCAGCAGCTTCCCAGGCAGAACAGCTTTCCTAACCTGCGAACACAAACAAAGAGCCGGCACTTCTACTTCAATTCATCCTCTGGTACACACAAACAAATTCAGACACCTGCTCCCACCTCCATGCACCATACACTGTTTGCCAATGTATCAGCCTGTCATGACATCCACCCACTGCTGAAACTGTCTTTGTGCTTTCCATTTTGCTTCCACTCCCACCCAGGTATGATTCTACCAGGTGACATCCAGCGTGTGGAGTTTATATTCAAGTCAGAAAAGCCAGGAATCGATACGGAGGTATGGCAACTCAACACTCACCCTGTGCTGCTTCAAGGAGCCTCCATGCAGGTCACATTAAGGGGAGTGGCTCTTTACCAGGACAAAACGGCAGACCAGAGGAATTTCATGGAGGTAGTTTTACAAATAAGTAAAAAGAAAGACAAATGGCACAAAGGTGTTCTTTAACAGAAAACAATATGCTCTATTATATTTCTGTTGTGTGTTCATGAGCAGACAAAGCTGGAAAATATCGTCATGGTGAAAATGTGTCGGTCCATGGTGTACAAGATGCTACAAGGTGTCCACACCCAACAGAGACCCAGCTCTCCTGCAGAGCTCTACATCACTGAAGAGCAAAGGTTTCTAAACAGAAACCCAAAGGTAAATCCTACAGTAGACACACTATATCCATAAAGAATTGTATATTAGTTGCTCTTACACCTCCTCTTTAGGGCCTCAGCAGGGTTCAATTTCATGTACCTATGGTACTTAATGTTTCTCTGTACAGAGTTTTCTATAGAGCAGATAGATGAATAGATTTACAAAGCATGTCTGTATTAAAAGTTTCCTGAGCTAATGATGGGAAACATTGGAAAGTGTAACTACACATGGATATTGAAATACAATGGCTTTCTCAACATCATTAACTCTTGTAGCACGACAGTAATGTCTGTTCATGGGAGTCTTGTATTAACATGTACATATTCCTGACATATGCTGCTTCTCCACATTGACTTTTGGAATTTCCCTCCGAGGATTTATAAAGTATTTCTGATGAACTCTATTTATGGTTTTAGTTGCAGTACCATCATCAGCCAGTGGAGGACCTAAAGAGACTGTGGGAAGAAGTCAATCCAGGACACACCTGGGATCTCTCTGTTCATATTCTTCGAAGGGTAGAAAACAATATGTTGTGATGTGGTTCATAAAAACACTTGGTCTGCACAAAAAAACGACCTGTCACTGGAAATTTAGCAAGTTGAGTCAAGGATATAAGCTCTTATAATGCACTTTCCATACAATGTCATACCAATGTGCTGAAAATAAGATCTAACATTAGTTTAGTTTGGTATTGTTTAGCACATTTCAGTGTAATCTAACAACAAAACAATATGTGCACATTCTATAATCGAAAACGAGCAGGACATAACATAAGATAAATAATATGAATACAGAAGGCCATCCCTTTGCTGATTTTCCTCTTGATATTAAACAAAATATCAAAGAATAAGTGAAGTGAGGCAACATCTAAAGTGTTCTTTGCTTTTTACAGTCCTGCTTTTTACAGACTTAAGCCCACTTTCCTCTTTATATATTCTATGTGTCTTCAAAGTGAGTTTTTCATCCACTATGACACCCAAAAAGTCTGCTCTTTCAATATGAACTCCATCTATCACCATACATCTGTTCATTTGTTCCTGTACTTAAGGCTGTGCTGTCTCTGCCTGAACAAGAGTCATCTCAGGACACCAGAGAAAAAAGCTTGGCTCAGCTCAACTCTCTGCTTCTGCAGCTTTCTGAACCCACTGAACTGAATCACCGCCTTCTAACAGCAGCAGCAATAGGGTGAGGAATAGACACGTGTTCCACTTTCATGTCATCCCACACCGGTACAGTATCATGTAATATGCTTGTGTGTGGTGCCCCCTGTAGACAGCAGCTGTGGAGGAGACTCTTGGACTTGATGGCAGGTGAGGCCATGTGGCTCAGAAACCAGCTGGGCCTCCCCGAGACACAGACATGGATGGATAAACAGGAGGGGTCGCCCATCTCTGATGCTGGTGAGACTTGCACACTTTCCCTCAGACATATGGTGAAGTCATGCAGTTTATTACTGTTATTCCATCACAGATGCTGATGATTTGAGCAAAGATGAGAAGAGTGAGAAAAAGAGAGAAGAGGCTGCAAAAGAGAAGAGGATAGAGTCGAGATCCAAATTAAATGATGACACCAAGTCAACTGAAAAATCAGTGGAGGTGAGGGGAAAATATTTATGTGTGCATGTCCAGCTGACTAGCCTTCATCTTTATATGTCTATATATATTGTATAAAACTATTTAATATGCTACTGTGATTGTACAGCATACCTGTCTATATAAATATAAAATAATTACATAGGCATACATAATGAAATATGCAGCATACATCCTCATACAATCATCCTGTGCCACTGCACTTTACTCAAGTACGTATCTCTATAAATAACGTGTTCGCATATCTACCGTCCTCTGACAATCTGCTGCTGTGACTTTCCCCACCATGGGATCAACTTTAAATTATGTTGTCTTATCTTCATCAACACAGAGATGGGAAATTATTTATCATTAAATGTTTTCCACTGAGTGGCAGCAGATTCCCTTTAATTCATTTGAATGAGTTGTGTGAATAAAGTATGAAGACATAACACATCACTTGAGCTGCCTCTCAGTTGATCCAACCATGACTCACCTGCACCACTTCAAACAAGTTGTTGTTCATCATTCATTTACCTGCTATTTTGTCTCCACACAACTCGTCCACCTACGGCCTCAAAGATCTGCAGTATTATTACATATTGTGTAGGCTGGTTTTTGGAAATGATTTCTCAAATACACCATGATGCATAAATTATATTATATGCTTACATCTGATTTGCTGTATTAAAATGAGCCATTTCTCAATACTGACTGCTCAGATCAGACAACAAGCAATCAGATGCTACTTGGCCATCACCATGCAGATGCTACTTAGCCATCACCATGCACCCATCCTCATTATACCCAGCTAGTTCTCATCATTCTGTTCACAAATATAAAGTTTTGTTTGCCAGAACAGAGACTGAGAATGTCAACAAGGTTGCTGCCTGTGTTGCTCAGACATAGATGATGAGATATTGTGTCCTGTAGCTCAGTTGGTTCCCACATAAATAATATTGTGGGTGAAAATCTGGCCATGCACGACCCAGTGGTGGATCTAGGATATTTCTAAATCAGTGGCCATTTTACACATAGGAGCCAATTACATATCCAAAATCCATGCACAATTACTGATTCATTTAAGTGAACATTTATGTAATTCTTTGTACTTTATTACAATGAATATATTTTAAATTGGTCCTTGTTCAAGCATATCGTGTACTTTCCCTATTGTGGGAAGAATAAAGGATCATCCTATCTTACCTCAAAAACCCTTAAAAATTAAAATTCTTAAAAAATGTCATATTTATTGTTAGCATTGCTTGGTGGCCATTATATTAAAGGGGCCAATCAGATTTCAGCTGGGGCCTGGATCCGCCCCTGCCAGGACCTTAAATCTCTCTTAAAATGGTTCATGTCTGAATTGTGAGCCGTTAAAAATATATCACAATCCTTTCTGTGTAGTTTGCTCAGTGATTTTCTTCTTCGTGTGGCGCTTTAACATTGAGTCATAGGTCAGGTACAGCCTATTACTCTCAGATCACCATCGCAACAGAACACGGTGTGAAAATGTGCACCTGCTCTCCAAATGTGCGCCCAGGGTGTCAATTAATTGGACCTGGACTGGTCCAAGCCATCTGTGCTCCACACACACACACACACACGACTAGCTATATGTTAACTCATACAGTACAGTACATGCAGTATATCATACACCATCAAACATGTGGGAGGTACTTTTTGATCATGCAGGATGTTCCCAAACACTCAACAGCCGACTCATTTTGGTCATTTGATCATCCTGCACAATCAATACAACACGTCATGATCATTCTCCAGTAAACTATATGTCCTCTGTCTGTCTGTGTTGTGAACAAAGGAGAGCAAAAAGAAGGGGAAAAGAAGAGAAGAAGTGGGAAAGCGCAGCAAGGAAAAGCAAGAGGAGGAGTCTGTGTCACTGACTGAAACCAGTCCAGAGAGCAACATTCAGCAACTTCCTGGTGATGTGGAGCCAAAGATGATGAAGATTTACACCAGGCTCCTGCACCAAAAGGTCAGTCCTTTAATCATTTGTGAATTATTTATCCCATAATATTATTTTAAAGGGGCACTCCCACACAGTAAAATATAGTTTACTCATCATGAGGACTCAACTGCTGCACTTAAGTTTGGCAAAATAACTGATGATGTTGTCGGGGCTTGAATCTTTAACAGATGACCTGGGTAAGAGTCACACGTAGGTACATTTTGCAAACCCGCCTGCATCTGCAAAGCTCCGTACCGGACCCCACCCACAACCCACAATTATCTCAAAGTCAAATCTGCAAACGTTAACATATGTCCCACAAGCAGACCCCTCACTGGATGAAACACACGTTACATACACAGTCACTTTCATCAATTAGGTCATGGCCACCTTGTCCTCCTGTTATGGTGGTTGAGTTTTGTTCTTGGAAAAATATCGTTAAATTGTAGCAGCACCTGTATTGCTGCAGCTGTCAGTGTGCTTCCTCAGTGACGTGTCCAGCATGTGGCGATAAAAAGCTAATACTTTTCACCACTGGCTATTTTTGTCTGAATGGGATCCATTTTGATGTACAAGGTTGCTCGCTGTCAGTAGTGACAGTTATTTCCTACTGAATTTCTACTATTACTGAATTTCCCTGGTGTGTGGATCAATAAAGTTTAATCATATCTTTTTTTATCTTCTCTTATTTGAGTAGGAGTGAAGGGGTCATAGGTTGTGTCATAGGCTTCCACAATAAAACCCATCCTCGACTTTACTTATATAAGCTGATTTAAATGTTAGGAACACTGCTTTAATTTGTTTTAATTTCTGATTTCTTGAGAAATATACACTTACGTTCTTAGCCGCTATCCGACAATGTTTCGTTCATTGTTAACCGTGAACTTACACAGGTATATTTTTACCTGTCTTTACCTGTTACACAAATACCCCAGCCTGGAGTATTAATTGAGGTGTAATGTTTATAAGATGTGGGTATTTACTAGGTTGGGTAACAGCTCAACCAATACTAAAAAAAAAAAAAAGTTGGAATCTGCTGTAATATTGACCTTTCTTCATTAATCTAATGGACGACACCATCTGGTTTCATTGTGGGAAAGATAGGATTCTTTGTTTTTGAAGGTTGAACCAGACAGAGATTTAAAGTTGGGATATCCTGGCCTCTGTTTCATTTAGTTTTGCCTTTCTTCATTGTCCAGTGAGTCAAACACCCACTGTCCTGTTGCATTGTGGGAAATGCAGGCATCTGTGTTTGGAGCTTTAACCATACTGGGATTAACAGTTGGAATGTTTTCGCTTCTGCTGCTTAAATTCCCACATTTTTTCAATCTGCCTCGAGTGAATCGTCCTCGATCTTTATGGAAGTGAAACTCCATCTCACAGAGGGACCACTGTTTTCTACTCCAATGTATCTGATGTATAAATCTATCTGGCAGGTTTATGCTCTGATGGAAGACCTGGTGGACACCATGTGCGACCTGATGGATGGAGGCGATGAGGCACAGGAGCTCTACTGAATATATCAACCTATTGTAAATACATGTCATATGTGATTCCCAAATCTCTCTCTTAATCTGTTAAGAAATCAATAAAGGTTTTTATCCCGGCACAGTGGAGATGTGGCGTAAAACTCACTCTATCTCATTCACTCCTTCACACTCACATCAGCGGGTGATAGTGGGTTGTCAGTACCGCTGACTCTGCAGATGACGCGCATGCGTCCCCCCCTTGCTTTTTTACGCTGCTGTGCTGTGCGCGCCCGGTGTGCCGGTGCCGCTGTACGCGTGTGTGACAGGAGAGAGGGAGCGAGTGAGCCGTGCGCTGTGGATGATCCTCGTCCTATGCGGATTTCATCGCTGACTGACCGCCTGAGCCGCTCGCATCATCCCGGGAAGAGGCCTGGATTTAGGCGCTGACACCCCCTCATCCAGGGATCACTAAACCCTTCTTAGTGCTCGGATCTGCTCCCACGTTTACCGAACATAGCTGCGGGTTGGATCATCGTGGTTGCCCTGCTTAGCAGATCCCAGCAGAGGGGATACTAACGACGCTGAGGAGGAGGAGGAGGAGGAGGACAGCGAGAGGCGATGATGAGCAATGGACAAGGTGAGAAGCTGCATGTTCCCACACGTGTTGTTATTCCTGCCAACACCACCTCTGTGTTGTTGCACATGTGTGCTGCGGTGTATTCAGACATGTTGCCGACCTACATGTTAGAAGGCTCCAGCAGTCGGTGGCTTTGCGCAGGAATGTGCCGCACATGGAGGAGACCCCCGCACAGACGATCTACCGCAGCAGGAGGGGGCGTGAGTGTGTGTGGATGTGCGGGATTGTGGGCTGGGGGGGTAATACATTATGCAGACCCACTATGGGCGCATCTCTACTCTCCATCACCACCTGGAATGTACGGTACACCTGCTTCCGCAGCACGCATGCGCAAACGTGACTGACGGGATGACGTAGGTGTTGGAGGAATTTTGACGCATCAGGCCGGTTTATGTAAGAAAACTTGAATCTATTAGTTCAACAAAGATTCACTATTTCATCTTAAAATGCTGCTGGGACAGAAGCGGCTCTGTGCAGCTCAAATGTCCATCTGGATTCAGAGACTGTCTTCTGGTCTCAGAGGGAATTAGTTTGAATTGGTTTCATTTGAAGGTAAAGTTTTCAGCTATGAATCAGAAGAAGTGACCCCATCACGTCCCAGTAAAATCACAGTGGGTGCTGTCATTGTGTTACTCAGCTCCACAGTTTGTCCCCAGATGACTTCACCACCACCACCAGTCTCTGTCTGTCTGTGCTGTTGTGAGACTTTCACATGCAAACTCTGCAACAATTAAAGGTTAGAAAACTCGCAACTTACAGCACTAGATTCTTAATTTTGAGGCCAATTCAATCATCTAAGTTGAAGAAAATCCTTTGTTTTCATTTTTAGTTCTAAATGCTAACATGTACACTGTAACATTTACATGTAGACTTGAAGATTTGTCTGTCGCCACGAACCAAATTGAATTTTTAATGTGAATGGTAAATATATGGTGGCCGAGACGTCTCACACAAGTTTTAAAGAAACATGTAAGAAAACCACGCAAGAATAACGCAAGAACCACAACCCAAATTGAAATTCACAACACAACTACACACTGCAGAAACACACCCACAGTGGAAGGGAGGGACATCTGAAAAGGAAGAACATACTTCAAATAGACCAGTACATCATGATACTGACTGATTTGTCCAGGTTTTCACAAATGACGGCGGACCTGAACACAGTGAGTAACTCTGCACATTTCATTGTCAACTTCCACCATGGTTGTGTTTCCTTTTTTGTGGCTCTTGCGGTTGTGTTGTAGCTTTTGCATTTTCCATTTGTGTGAGACGTCTCAGCCACCATAGCAATTGGCTGTATATATTTAGCAAATTTCTAGTTTCTTTTTTTTACTGCAGCCAGCCACCAGGTGGCAATTCAGGTTTTGGTTTTGCTTTTGGGGTTGGCATGTCGTCCATTTCATTTACAGTCTCCGATCAGAAGCCACTCAGTAAAGACTAGTCTTCCTAATAAAAAAGAACCCTGTATAGCCACGTAGTTTTGAGGGCAACTTTGCATATGTAACTTAATAAAGTTAGCTGGAGAAAATACTTTGCTAAGTTTACAAAGCCATTAAAAATATCCTTTGCACACTTTATTTTTAAATTATAGTAAGCCGTGCAATTTCAAGTTTTCATTTTTACAGGGCACAAAGTAAAAAACATTTTGTTAAATGTTATACATCAGGAACACAAGGACACATGTATGTATTTGATGTTGTCTTAGACATCTGGACTATTCTTAGTAGCCTGTAGGCACTTCAAATAAGGTTAATTTTAGTGTTGTCTCATATCTGATATATGTGGCCTTCACTGGTTATATTCCTGTCAGCACGGATGGAGTAGGATGAGAGTTTGTGCAGCACATGCTTGGTCCAGACCTCACAATAATACTGAAACAAGGAAATTCCTTTGTTACATTGGCTTGAAGTTGCCACTCATCAATCTGTTACACCTTCAGCTTCTGCCATTACCTCAGGATTCCTGACTCCCCTCCGTCTGTATGAGAGTCTTAATACACACACAGAGTTTATATTACTCCCACAGTGTGAGTTATCAGTTGTGGTGTGGGAGTCAGATTCAGAGATAATAGTTTCAAACACGTCATATAGTCGACAGCACCAGCCTTTAATAACCTTTGTGTTTCTGTGACCGAGCTAAAGATGATTGTGCAGAAAGGTGATACTGCTTCAGGTTGCTGAGCTTCACTTCTTTCTTTATGTCCTTCGCTATCTCTCTGTCTCTCCTGCGTATACACTAACACTAGGAGACTCGTGTTCCTCTCCTAGTTTCTGTCCGTATCCCTGCTGTGTGTGTCTCAGGTGCTCTGTTCCTCTGCTGATGTCGGCGTTTCAGCAGGACGGGGCATCCTGTGACTTGTTCCACTGTGACATCCTCTTTCAACTGCTGTGAAGCAGCAGTGGACCGAAGCATCAATTAGATATCTGCATAGGAAGGATCATAGCAGTAATAGCCAGTGCATGATGTTGTTATATACTGAGCCAGACACAGTGGATAGGTTTGTGGTCAGGTCTGCTGGACACAAGCTCAAGGATCTGATAGATCTTGGGGCTCATGAGCTCCTGCATGCAGTTACTGCCATAAATATTTCTGATTATACTGTAAAATCTAAGTTGATCATGCTTAAAAAAACATCTAGTAAACCGACCGCCTTGAAAAAGGTGGGTAAGTAGCTATTAGTCTTAAAGCTAGGGTCGGTAATCCTGGAGAAGCTCACTAGAGCAGGCTACACTTGAAATGCAACCGATCCATCCCACCCCATCAAAGCCACACCTCCAAAACACATGAATGTGCAACTGCTAGAAGCCGACTAACTTCTGACTATTGTCTCTGCTTCAGCCGTGTTTAAGTCTCTCCTGCTGAAGACTGTGGTCATGAGAGCACAGGCAGAGCGCAGGCAGTGACAGACAGGTACACTAACCATCATTTCATTCAAACTAACTGAAATGATTGGTTTTATGTTTTATTTTCTTAATTTGTCAAGTTGATCTAGATTAAAAATGGCAAGTGAAATAAACAAGTGAAATTCAAAGTTTAATAAAGCAAGTTCGGCTGATTTACCGAGATGGTTGTGTTTACTCAATCTGAATATACTAGAATTATTAATTCCGGGTAAATAGCTTGAGCATTATCATCCATGTTGACATTACAATCCAGAAGGATACTGTGATAGACAGACATTTCTGAAAAGCAGGGACTCAGAGAGAGTGTTTTTGTGAGAATTTGCTACACGCGTTTTTTTATGAACTGTGCACACGTCACTCATGATAATACATACAAAATACATCCTTCACTTCAGCAACTTCACCCACTACAATGAAAAGACCTGAAATCTGCAGCCACATGCCAAGAAACATCTATAAGGTATTAGAACACAGCCCAACTTAACCCAACATCTACCTCCAACACGCTACAATAATGATGAAGGATGGTTCCTGTACTGTTCTATTACACACGTTGAGCTCCAGTTTACACAAGTGAATGTAGTTTAATACCTGTTTTCAGCAAAGCAAGTAATTAATATACAAAAAAAGAATATGATTTGAATCAACTGTACTACAGTCATGTAAGTAAGCACAGGTATGACTTTTTACAACATAGGAGTGGTTCTTTACTGGGTTTGCACTCTGTAGGCGTTGCTCTGAAGCAAAAAAATCGAAAGAAATGGAACATGTTACACTAAGCTGATGACTGATGGGAAGAGGTTTAGTTTAGTGAGGTCAATCTCGTTCAGCTTTGGTTTAGTGGGTTAATTATGCTCCATGTCTGCGAGCGCTTATAGTCGCAGGAAGAGGGAGAAGTATCACAGGAACTCTTAATGATCAATTCCCTCATGTCCTCTCTGAAATATGAATTTGGCAGCGAGAAATGGGTTGTGTGTGCGCACAGATGGTTGCGTGTGTGTGTGTGTCTGTGTTGGCCTGAATAAAATAAGCCATCAAGAAGCTTCATGAGACACCTGAGTGCCACAGCTTTTATCTGACCTACTTCCTTCTGAGGGGGCACAGATTTTTGATATGGCTCGTTGTATTCATGTTAATGTAAAAAGCAAAGAATAATGAGAAAAAACAAGAAAATGTATACTTACAAGAGAATTGTGATGTTTTTATGTTTTCTTCATCATGGGCAGGTTAAATATTTTAACTGTGAAAAGCTGAGTATGGCAGCTCTAATGGAGCCAGTTTCTCAAAATGTAAACAAGCTAAATCAAATTAAAAATGGCAAACTTCCATGGCTCATGTAATAGCCTGTTACATGAGCCTTTGTCTTGTAACTTTCAACTTATCTCAGAAAGAGTGTAGTAATTATCTTTGGCTCTGACCACCGAGAAGGCAAACTACAATCGTTTGTTTGTCCACTGGCAAGCAATATCAAATCCACAGCCAGAAACCTTGCTAACACACAGTTTGAAGCTCATGTCAATAACCTTAGGGAATCTTGTTACTTTCACCAAGGAAATAAAGCCAAAATAAAATCATCTTTCTTCTCCTGACCCCAGTTTTATTAGAGAGCTACTAACTCCCTGTGCTCCAGGCAGTAATCTATCATATTCCCACCCTTGGTATTTTTTCATTAATCGAGCCTTGTAACTAAGGGAGACTGAGGAGATAAGACTTGTCAGCACTGTTTTTAAATCATCATAAATCATTGCTTAAAACATTTTGAAAAACACTTCTATTTCTCATGAACCATTTTGACAAACCCAAACCTATGACCCATAAAATACGTACATTTTCACTTTAGGTCTGACACATTTGTGATGAACCTGTTTAACCCCTCAAATAAGTAATTTACTGCTAGGGAGATATATAATAATTATAATAAGATTTTATTAATAAGATACTATTATTACTATTATTATTATTATTTATATTATCATTAATAGCAGTAGGGTCCTCACACCAGTCAGTGATTAGGCCTTAAAAAGCAGCATTACTCACTAAATCCATATTGGTTTTGAGAAAGGGTCCAAGTTGTCAAACTTGGAATTTATGTTAAATCAGATCAACCTTAGAAGAGAAAGGCATCATTAGATTTCATTTATCCTCACATGCTGCCTTTTTATGTTTCCTACAGGAGCGCCTTTTAACTCCTGACAGAGAAGAGGGGGCTTCTTTGCTTTAGCTACCTCTCCAGTTCCACGTTTACCTGTTGAGCATTTACTCTTCACTTTCTCTCCCTCTACATCCTCCATCACCTATCACCATGACAACCTCAGCCCTGCGCCGGCAGGTGAAGAACATTGTGCACAACTATTCAGAAGCAGAGATCAAGGTATTACAAATATTTTTGTGTAGTGTTCTCTTTAAATGCTATTGATGTGCATCTGTTTTAAGTGTTCCACTTTGAGGATAAGTTGTCTGTTGTCTCTTAATATACTTGCTTCTTGCTTCTTGTCTTGGATACTGCTGATGATACTGTTACTCAATGGGTTTTTTCTTCTATCTTTATTTGAAAGCGTGGTATTTCAGTTTTAAAGGAGCACCTACTGATTTCATGTTCAAATTTATGCTTGCACTCAAACAGCCCCAGCTAGTGCTCAAAATGAATGCACTTAGATATTTTGTAGCTTGGACATATTTCCTGCATTATAGCTTTAGCTTTTTTCTCCTTTTCTCCATATGTACTTAGATTTCTCCTCTGCTATTGGATATTTTTCATCCATGTCAGCTTTACGTCTTTGAGAGTTCTGTCCGATCAGTTACTTTAATTGGGGTCATGCCATTAGCATTAAAGGTACAGTGTGTAGAATTTAGTGATATCTAGTGTTGAAGTTGCATATTGCAGCTGAACACCCCTCACCTCACCCTCCCCTTCCAAACATGAAAAAAAGCCTGTGGTAGCTTCAGTTGTCATAAAAACTCAAAAGGTGTTTAGTTTGTCCAGTTTGGACTAATGTAAAAACATGTCAGCCTCCGTAGAGAGGACCCCCTTGATGTAAATATAAAGTATTTGAATATAAAGGGAATTTTCTGGGGTAAAGAAAACTACAATTCATACTTTAGATGAAACAAACTAGTGAAAACATCATTAGGATTATTCTACATTAAATTTCTGCCGATAGTTCCCTTTCCCCTAAATCTTACACACTGGGCCTTTAAGCTAACACACCCACAACGAAGGCATGACAATTTAATTTATCAATGCCACACCTGGCATTCTATGAGTTGCGGGATTTGAATAGACTCAAGCAGAACAAATCTAGTGCAGGGTTTTTAGAGAATTACAAAAGCTGAATGTGAAATCAAAAAGACCTACTCTCACACTCAAAGACCACAATCTTGAATAAATACAGGAGAAAACCCATATTATTCAAGATGAGTTAGAAAATGATGTGCGTGATATGTAAATAAGGAAAGAAATTGATGTTTTGCTTCCTCTGCTGGTGATGTGCAGGTTCGTGAGGCCACCTCGAACGATCCATGGGGCCCATCCTCATCTCTCATGTCCGAGATCGCAGACTTGACCTTCAATGTGGTGGCGTTTGCTGAGGTCATGGGCATGGTTTGGAAACGCCTCAACGACAGCGGCAAGAACTGGAGACATGTCTACAAGGTGACCTCAGTGGATTTGGGCATTTGTTAGATTTAATTGTGATTTTGAATCAGTAAGTGATCTCTGCCTGTTTCTCTTTTTTTCTGCTTCAACTGTTAAATGCTTGACTGACCAGCTGACCTCCCACCACCACCAGCAGTTTCATTTGATAACATTCATGTTTTTTCTTCCTCATTACTAAAGCTCTGCTCAAAGCTGTCAGTGAGTGTGTAGCACAGAGCATCAGTGTGGTAATCAGTATCTGCTCACAGGCCCTGACTCTGTTGGATTACCTGCTGAAGACAGGATCAGAGAGAGTGGCTCAGCAGTGTCGTGAGAACGCGTTCACGATTCAGGTACCGCCTGTAACTGGAGGAGAACCTTGGTAATCTGAACGCCTCAGGAATATTGTCCGTTTGGAACATCAGTAGTTGTTACCCTGGCAACTACTACTCTTCCTTGGGTCTATATTTACAGGAACACAGTATAATCACCAAACGTTACGCTGCAGAAGACAGAAACCACCTTTCAACTCAACACTAAAATACTGAGAACAAACTAAATCACTAACAAACTAATTTCATAACAAATAAACTATTAACAATATCATTACGCTCCTGCAGATCAGATTGTTGAGATTCTCTTGCATCGTTATCACAACTTGATCTGTACATTATTTGAAAATTTCCTGTTGATTAAAAAATGTGTTTTGATTGCATGTGTGGGCTCAGACACTGCGTGACTTCCAGTACATGGACCGTGACGGCAGAGACCAGGGGGCTAACGTGAGGGAAAAAGCTCGCCAGCTGGTGTGTCTCCTGCGAGACGAGGAGCGGCTCCGCCAGGAGAGAAGTCAAGCCCTGAAGACCAAGGAGCGAATGGCTGGTGGGGGCAGCGGAGGAGGCGGGGGTGTGTACGGAGGCATCCCCCCGTCTTATCACCCGGGTAGGCGAACGAGCCAGCCCAGCATGTCTGTGCTGTACGGCGAGGAGTTCAGCCGCTCCAGAGGCTCTCCGTCCTCCTTTAACTGTGAGTTTTTAAAGATAGAAGTTATCCTGAAGTCTGAACAGCATATTTTCTTGTTGTGGCAATTGGTGAATAAATAGATTAAGAGTTTAAAATGCACAGTTGTATTCACGCCACATCCCTACTGAACTGCAATTTGCACCGTAGCCCAGCACTGGATGGATTATCAATACTGCAGCATAGGCCTGAAAATGTTTAAATCAGCCAAACAAACCTCCGCACACACACACTCTCACTCCTTCCTCAAACACTCTCGCCCGTTCCCCTCTGCAGCCTCGTCGTCATCTCCTCGTGCCGCCTCAGACCTGGAGCAGGCCAGGCCTCAGACCAGCGGGGAGGAGGAGCTGCAGCTCCAGCTCGCCTTAGCAATGAGCAGGGAGGAGAGTCAGAAGGTAACACAGCATATACACACACACACACACACACACACACTTATAATGATAATGTGTGATTGCCAGCATCCTCCCCTCTGCTACACACACACAAACACACAGATATGTGCTTCCATTCAGAGGACATTATTAGGATTAGCTTATTGTTCCCATAGGGAAGACAAGTCCCCATAACTTGACTATGAAAACAGATATAGGTCCCCACAACATGAGTAAGCCCTGGGCTTCACACACACACACAAACGCACTCAAACACACACACACACCTACACACACACAAACACACACACACCTACACACACAAACGCACACACAGTCCTCTGTTTTTGAGCCACAGATGTCTCATTGCCTCTCGATGAATCCAATTATTAAAAAAATTGTTACAAATTGTAAATTCGCCCACCATCCTCTAGCGTGCCCTTCCTTCCCCTGTAACCATAGAGATGATGATGAATACATAGACTACAGATTGCTTAAGAGCCAAATGCAGCATGAGCAGGTACACAGAAACACCTCACTCCTTACAGCTCTTTGTCAGCATTTTTCAAACTCTGCTCGTGTGTCTCTGTATTCTATATTATGGCTCTGAAACTATAAACTTTTTCCTTCCCTACATTCTTTGTTGGCTGCGTCTCCTCCTTCTCCTTCCCACACAATTTGTGTTATAGCTTCTATGTAGTTTCAGAAGATTTTTGTCCATGCTATGCTTTTTGTCCACTAAATATTTCAGCAGCACAAAAAAAGGACGCTGGTGCAATGATCTGCCGCCTTCATTTGGATGGACAAAGCCAAATACTGTTTCACTAATGTCAGCGTGTGTATGTGTGTGTACCTCCATGCTCATTGCCGTGGCGTTAATATTGACGATGTCACGATGCCGCCCCTGCAGGAGCAGCGCTGTCGCCAAGGAGACGAGTCTCTGTTACAGAAGGCCCTGGATGAGAGCCGGAGAGAGAGCCAGTCAGGGACTCAGGAGGTGAGTTTGTGAGTGTGTGTGCGTGTGAATGCTGCATGGTGAGGTGGGTGGGTGCACTTGTAGGTGGCTGTTAGCAGGAATTTAGAGAATGAAGTGGAGTTTATGGTGTGGCGTGATAGGGAGGGAAAACAAGGAAAAAATAAACATGGATCATCATAATGAGGGAGGGTTTGAGAGGGAAAGGGGAGAGCGGAGGGAGGAGAAAAGTGCCTGCTGAATGATAATGACCCTGTCTTGTCTAACCTTGAGCTCGGCATGACATTTCCCTGAAAGCCTGCACTCCTTATCTCATAGCACACCAGCTCTCTCCCTCCTTGGCCTGTCAACAAGCCATTCAGGATCCCAGGTCATCTGACGTAAATGTCCCGATGGCTTGTAATTGGTCATATCATCATTATCGTTATTCTCAGATGCCACATAAAAATAACATGGACATTTGGTTTAGAGGAAAAGAGGAAGAGAGCTCCAAAATGGTTCTCTAAGCGTCGTAATACCTGACATGATTACAAGGTCAGATACATAGCTCATTGAATTTAGTGCAATTTACAGTGGGTGCATGTTTGAAGACCTATATTGTGTTTGATCACAAAAAATCAATTTACAAGTAAATCAGTTATTTAACTTACATCAACTCCTGCATTAAAAAATGGGAAATATGCAAATATTCAAGTTTGACCACCGAAATTCTGCTCTGAGTGCACCAGTTGTTTCAAGTTTCCACATCACACCTTTGTATATGAGTCTGTGTATATTGGACTACGATTGGGCCTTCATGTGATATCTGTTACGGCCAAATCAAGCATGTCGCCTGTGTTAGAGCTTCCTTCATCCAATAATCAGAATAACCCAAAAGTTTAGTTTTAATGATTGAGACTTAAGAGAGATAATCCAAGTTATGAACTTTCTAGATTTAATTTCTGACAGAGGACATCATGTGTTCAAAAGTTAGATCCGTAGTTTCCTTTGATGTCAGCCCTATGAGCATATCGATCGGGCTCTATGATAATCCATCAATGACAGCGGCTGCAGTGTAAAATCATGTTTTACTTTTTATTCTGTGTAAACTGCATTCACACAAAGGAAGGATCAGTGTTGTCACAAAGACACAGACTGTGCAAGTACTGTAGTTTAGAACAAACTGCTCTCCACATGCTGCACTGCAGTCTGCTGCTGTGGAAGCTCTGCTCCTCCAGATGCTGCCTGACAAATTTATGAAATGATGACCCTGTTTCTGACTTACCTCAGGCACTTTTCACTTTCACTGCATTACGTAATGGATTGTCACTGCCAGCATGTGCACCAATAACAATTCAACACACACGTTATAGACAGCACCAAAACATCTGGAATGGTCAGCACTGGCTTTCAGTATTAAATAACAATGGCCCTTAAAAATGCTCTTGCTGTTCTTCATAAGTGATCTCAGTAGTGGCAGTGTTATATTGTTTCTTAATAGATTTGTATCAGTATCTATAACCATTTGTTATGTGAGCCATCTTTTTCTTGGTAAAAGAATAAAGATACTGTCAGTGGGAGTTCAGTAAACATGTCTTTCAAAATCATGTATCTTCTAAACACTAGCACATTTCCCTTGTCTTGTCTTAGTTTGGCTTATCTTAGTTTATTTATCTTAGTTTAGCATATTTTAGCTCAGCTTTTCTTATTTGTCTTTGCTTAGATTAGTTTAATTTGTCTTGTCATTAAATTTCATGAATTTACTGCTTTGTTACAGTGATTATTTTCCCCAAACATAATTTGAATTGTTATTTTTTTCATCTTAAGCGGTGTGAGAATTTTGTCAGCCAATAAAAGAAAGAAAGTAAAAGTTTTTAGTTAAACAGTGTTAGTATAACATTTTATAATCGTTTCCAATTCTACTTGATTAACAGACATTTACATCATTAACTCTGAATCAACTTCACTTAAGTACAGTCTGTCAAGCTCTTTGTCTAAATATGGTTTAATAGTTTTTTAATGTATCTGTTACACAGTCATATTATGTAGTTAAAGTTCCCATCTCATCAGGGTTGGATGCATTTCCTCTGGCTCTCATTAAGAGTCCTCCTGTTCATTCACACAAACCTGGAAGCACATAAGAAAGTGTTTGATTGAAAGGATTTCTCTGCAGTCAGCCATGTTGGACCTGGTGGACATATTTGCCACGTCATCCGAGCAGCCGCCTCCTCCCAGTGACCCTTGGAACTCAGCTCAGCCCACCAATGATGTCACCTCTGACCCCTGGGACTCTGTAGGTACGTGGCTAATCGCAGACACACCAACACATCCCCTCACACATCAGGTCAATATGACGCGAGACCTAACATCCAATTATGTCTTCTCAAATTCTGTGTTTGAGTTTTTATTTGGTTTGGTGTCTTTCGTCTATTTGTCTTCACAGCAGTTCACAGCAGCACTCCTGTGATTGGTAGCCCTTGGACAGCCCCTCCCTCCTCCTCCAACGCGTCCAATCCTTGGGCCCCATGTGCCGACTCAAGTGCAGACCCCTGGGAAGGAGCGCCGGCCTCCTCTAGTCCTGTAAATCATGCATGGGACAACCCAACAGACGGAGGTACAGGACGCTGACCTGCATCACCAGATCTCCTCAAAGTGAACATACACACTGACTGTACTTGACAATGTTTGTCCAAAAATGTGCAGCACTTTGCATCAGTTTTCAATTTCTTGTGCAGATGTCGATGGGACAGATCCGTTTGCTGAGCAGGAAGAGGACAAGCCTCAAGTGTCCTCTCCTCAACTGGCTAGTCCAACAGGTATTATAGTACAGGACACCAAGTACTGTACTGATGTTACAGCACATTTGGACTCTACAGATGATATAAGTCTCTTGCAGACAGTGGTCGCCTTTGTTAAAACTTTTTTAAAGACTTTTAACACATGTCTGCATAAACATAGGTTTTTAGTTTTTAGTTTAATATAGTCAAACAAAATAACCCAACAAATGTGTGTTTTTTATTATAAATAGCTGCATAACATTACATTTTTAGACCTCTATAAATAATTCAAATAAAACAAGTCAGTTGACCTGGTCATACCTAGTAGATACACTGTACATAGACAGAGGAAATGACAAGGCAGAGTCATTTAGCGCATTTTATAGACAAAGGAACAGTTGGTATCTTTTACCTAAAAGATGTGAGGAAGGAAGAAAGAAATGAATCAAAGAACCTAAAGTAAGATCCTCATGGTCAGTAGGATTAGTTTGAGGTGGTGGAAAAAACAATCCAAGGACCAGACAGAGGCTGCTGAAAGAAGCGGCTCTCAGTCAGCTCTGTGGCCTTGGGTTTGGTTCTTTTGTCTTCTCAAAGTAAACCACAGGATATTTTGGCAGTGGATATGTCATTATATTTGAGCTTTTCCAAAACTGATCTAATAATCAATCTTTATATGGGATGTATATATTTATAGAAATCCTCTGAAAACCATGGAAACAAGTATCTCCATCAGCATGTAAGTGCAGGAGGTTTTCCCAAACCTGGAACCAAATGTTAGGGCGCGTACCTCACAGGCATACTGAGCAGGTGCCCGGTCCAACTCAAATATATTTATCAAATATTAATTACAGCGTCACAGCAGGTGAACCAACTTACATCTTTGCTTAGTCCATTACTGACATGATGTTTTTAATTATCTTCTATGACACATGTATCCATTACATCATTTCATTACATGGTCAAAAACCTTTAGCGATCTACACCTCACTTGTCATAACCTATCACGACATTATTCTAACGCACTAAATAATAGAAATAGAAACCGTAGCCTAGTTCAATGTTTAACAATGTACGGTATAAATTATTTGACATCACTTATGATGGACACTTTTAATATAACATGAATAAATTGTTATAACACAAGTTTTTACCATAAAAGGATGTGTTCATAAGTGACTCTTACAAATAATAAACATGATTTTGATTTCCCCGTTTGATGATGCAGGATGACATCACCATCACAAATTCCCTGTTAATCCATAAAACATTTTTCTTTACTCGTCTGAGTTTGTTTGTAAAAAAGTCAGTGTGGACACAAACCAGAAGTGAAGTGCACCACTAAATGATCTGGATTAAATGAACCATGGGAGCGAGAGCATCATAGGACAAGGAGACCTGAAGCTGCTCTGGTTCCTTGTGGTCGACCAGCTTCTTAATAAGCCAGCTTTTTTAAGTTTTTCACCCGTGCAGCATCACACTGCATCATTTTTTCCCCCATAACTTTCTTTTCTCTTCCTGATGCAGATGCAGAGCTGTTTGGGGTAAACCCAGACTCTGACCCGTTTTCTGCAGTGGATTCTACAACCAATGCATTTGGGGCTGATCCTCCTGTGAAACCTCTGGTAAATGGACGAGAGTCTGACAGCCCCGAGATGTTCGACCTGACCCGGCTCGCACCTCCGCTCAGCGCACCGCTTACACGTGTGTGTCGGACCCCAGAGGCCTTTCTGGGACCTACGGGGGCCTCGCTGGTCAATTTAGATGCTCTGATACCCACCAACCCTCCTAGCAAAATGCACAACAACCCCTTCCTTTTAGGTAACAGACCATTCAAGAAGTTTAACTTACAAAAGTCTTACTGGTGTTCTATTTAAAATGTTTTCCAACTAATAAATCTTGTTTTTTCCCCTCAGGTCTGAGTGCTCCGTCTCCCACCAACCCCTTCCACTGCGACCAGCCTCGCCTCACCCTCAACCAAATGAGACCATCCTCCACCTCCCCGCTGCCCCCTCACATGCTCTCCTACAGCCCGTCGCTGCCTCTTCCTCTCTCCCACCAGCCGCCCATCCTCCCCTCCTCTCTTACGCAGCCTCCTGCCGGACTCCTGGACCTCCCCTCCAACCTCCCCCAGCCCCTGCTCCCTCTGTCTCCGCGACCGGCAGCCCGCACTCAGTCCCAGATGCAGACACACAGCCACAACCCCTTCCTCTGAGACTGCTGCACCCTTCTAACGACGGTATGGACTCTTTTTTAGATCGGTCTGTGCTGACTACAATGACTGCAATTCAAATGAGCCTGAACTGGATCGTGGTCTGATGCCATCGTGCACACTTGAAGCGGATAGAAACACGAACTGGATGTACTTGTGTCTGTCCCAAGACACGTCAGCTGCTATATAACCTGAACTCTTGAAGAAAAGCTAACTCACACGCACACACACACACACATACACACTCAAACTTGCACTCAGGCGCACATTAGGGTGCACACACATCAACCTCATGCACAGACACACGCACACAAGACTTAACAGGGTGCATCTCAAAAGTCCATTAAATGTCTTTTTCCCCTTTAGCAACTCCGAGCATCCTTTTCTCCACACAACACAGAGACTCGGATGAAGCCACACACACTGATTGTCCACCGAGATTTCCCAGGATCCTCACCGCTGCTGCTTCACCGACGAAAGCATGAATGCATCCCACCACCCCCACCTACCCCCCGAGAGTCCAAACTATTCTATCCTGCTGAGCACCTGAGATGAGTTATTCAAATAAATCCCGTTTTTTTCCCAATGAGTCAAATAGTATCTTGAGATTTCTTGGCACAATTGAGAATCAGTGGAGATGACCCAAAAGTGTGTTTCCGTAAGACTTTAGAAAACATGCAGCACTGTTCAAGAACTAATTGACTCAGGTGGTCCTCCCCATACATGACAATACCTATTTTGCATTTTACCTTGTTACCTTGCAAATGCAACAGAATCTACTGCATCTATTCTACATCTTTATTGTAGATGTAAATTATTTATCCTGTTAAAGGCGAGTGGATCCAAAAGGATTTAGATGGATTTAAAACAGGACTAAACCAGCCTAAGCTACACCTCAATATCTCAATCTGGACCTAAACTGATCACTGATTGTACCCTCTTGGACCCGCGTGCCTGCCTCTACAGCTGACCCACAATGCATTCCCGGCTGGTTCACATTGGCGCCGTCGAGGAGGACCTCAGGGAGACCGCTCTGTCCCTCCTCCAAAGAGATTCAACCTCACTGAATCAAAAAACACACAGGGAGATGAATGGATATTTCAGATGTGAGCGTATAAACGAGGGAGGTGAAGGAGGAGGGAGGGGTAAATGAAAGATGAACATAAATAAGGTGAAGTGATCACAGATGATAAACTGATGCGTTGAGCAGCAGCTCCTCGTTCACTTCGGTTTTAGGAACAAGTGAATCTGTTTGGTCGTCACTGCACTGAACCTGGACCTGAATGTGAAATGCCTGCCTATATACACACAGGCTCAGTACATATGTATTTAATAGAATGAAACCTATACAGTATTATGAGATATTATACCAATAAATGAATGGTGTTTGCATTATTATTTTCTCTCTTCATCCAGTACATGTGTCATTCATTTGTTTCATCACAGCCGGTTATTGAAATATTGAAATTATAGAATAATATAAAAAAATAAATACAGATTTGGTGCTTATAGCTTCTCATGAGAGATTTGTGTCTGTTTCTCAGACATGGAGAAACATAACTTCACACGTGCATATATCAAAATGTTTCTACAGCTGCAGAATTTTCTATCACTCTCACAACCTTGAATCTTATCTAGTGTTTCCTTCGAAACACTTCACTGTTTCTAGGGTGTATCGCTGGATGCTGACATGCTGCTGATAGACACAACAAACAGGTGTATGGCCTTCATCAGGTCATGATGAAGGCCATACACCAGAGACTGGTTTCCCCTCAGACAAAATAAACCTTCACCTTAGTTTATTTACGTGGTTCAAGTCTGCATGAGGGATCAATATTATGTCATTTGACGCCACACGTTTTTATCATTTGAGCAAAGATAGCATTGTTTTTCTTCTTTGACATAACTTCAGGCCACAACAAATACATTGAAAAGTCTGTCCTGAAGCATTTATGAGTCTTTGACCAGGTAACGCTTTATACCGAGCCCCTGTTTGAATCTCGTCTCCCGTGCTACTGCGACATCTGCAATATTAGTGCTACAAAAAATATATTGTTTCAAAATAAATAGTCAATTTAACCCAGGTGTCCACAACCCCCAGTATATTACAATACAGTGAATATAAATATCCTCAAGGGCCTCTTGCTTGTAAACAGATGCACTGAATCGAATATAATATTCTCTGAAGAATTGGGCCAGCTACATGAAAGATTTTACCAGTGAGACTGTCCAGCATATCTCCCTGGAAACAAAATGTCATCTCTAACAGAAATGACAAATTTATTCATGAGTTATAGCAAAGTATTGGTTTGTTTTTTGCTCGTTGTGAAAACTAAAGAATGAAAACAAGAAGTTACACTTTTACTGGGGATCATGGGATCGTAAGAATTCATTAGATGTTTAGGAATAGAAAGATTCTGCTATAAAACTAAATAACCTAAATACACTTTAATTGTCAAATGACTTGTTGGCTCTAATCTGTACTCAAAGGTAAGTGGTTTTTTTCAGTTATGAGTAGTATCTGCAGTTTTTAATTTCAAACTGCAGATACGTTTCATGATATTAAATCCTTCTATTTTAACAGAGAGTAATTTATCTGTTATACCCTTACATCTTTCCTCTGTGTGTCCTGAAGGGGGAGCCACAGCCACAGACCTCATCACCCGTCACCTTCCAGGAGCAGGAGGAATCCTGCAGGGAGATGGAGCAGAAACAGAAAGATCCTGAAGATGAAGAGAAGGAGATGGAGCAGAGAAGATGAAAGAAACTGATGTGAGCAAAAACAAACTTTACAAAACTAGTTTTATCTTTATTTGATTTTATATTTCTTATATCTCTAGTCATTTTAGGTTTTACTCTTGCACTGTTTTCAGTTTTTTAAATACACTTAAATCTGCCGTACCATCATTTCACAGGCTCTACTATCTCTGGTATTTTGGATGTGTTAGTAGACACAATACCTTATAAAAAAATACATTGCAGATTAGATATAAATGCTGCATGAAGGAATCAATGAGGCTTGTCAAGCATTTTCTGCTGTATCATGGTTATTTACTTAAGTGTCACAGACTCTGCAGATTTGTACTCCTCTGCAGCTCCTTCGCACAGTCATTGAAACTTTAAGCTAGAGGAAACTCTGACACCTGGTGGACAGACGATGCAGTTTGTCTCACCACCTGTTTTCTGTGTTTCCAGTACAGTCCATAAGGCAGTGTGGAGGCTACCTCGAGGCCTGGAGGTGAACCTGGCTCCTGTTTGAGAAGTGTGAAGAACACAAACATAAACACAAACACAAGAGAGTGTTTGTATTTTCACACGCTCGTTTTCTGTTATGCATGTGTCTGATTATGGAGAGTTGGTGTAAGAGCTTCCAGCAGATTGCTCCTTCACTCTTTACAGAACAACCTCCATGTCACAGTACAACCTGACTGAAGTCGTGATCTGTGGCAGTGGTGAACAACTGGAAGACCATAACAAAGCCAGTTTCTGATCACTGTCACTTTATATTTCATTTCTTGTAGCCGTTCTTTATTTGTTATCTGTCTGTAAAGATCCCAGAAGACTTCGTTGGTTATTTCTGAAATTGTTCTTTCTTTCACAGTTTCACATAAAGTGGAAACACTTTAACTGTTTTATCATATACTTAAAAAATAATGATTAAGTGTTTTCTAATATATTGAGGTAGTGTGAATAAATCCAAAAGGTTAAGTGTGATTGGATTAAATTAAGTTAAGCTTTAGCATAAATATAAACATTAAACACATAACTTATTAGATCCAATCACTGTCAAGTTATTTGATGTACTCACACAAACTCAACATGATAGACTTAATTAAATGTGACCCTTTACATTCAACTTATGTCAAAAAGTTACATGTAAATTTAATATGTAATTGACAAACACAGAGTCACAGTTTTAGGCATAATTCTTTGAGTCCAGCCCTTACATCAAGAAGCCACCCACTGTCTTCATGATGTTCATGGAGGAGAACAAATGTTGTCCCTGAAGTGGACATCACAGTCAACACAGTCCTTAGACAGAGAACACGTGTCTTCACTCTGTTTGGACATGACCTCAAATGCATCTCAGATGCATTCACACACGTACATGGAGTTGTCCACTTGGAATCGTATCTTGCTGGATGGATGTGTGAGGGCCAGTGTGTCTCCTGTCTATGAGTCTGCATGTGTGGCTTTCTCATGAAACCCAGTCATGTCTGTAAGGGCAGACACACACTTCCCTTCTCTTTAATGTTCTGTCCAACCAAAATCAAGTTCAGTCTGATCACAGACTCAAACAGCTGCAGTCTAGACCTCCACAGACACTAACTTAACTTGTGTGCAAACTTGAAACGCGACGTCACCATGTGGTGTTGATTGATGGAGGAAGGGAAGAGAACGGGGGTCTGAGTGGAGAATATTTGGCACAAGTGTGTGAGACCTTGTGGACGAGCAGTGCAGAGAGATGGAAACACAGGAAAACAGACTCATAGACTGGGCTCGTAACTTCTGTCTTAACCTCTAATAATCAAGTTAATCATGCATCATTGGCCTCTGTTAGACAAAAATACAAAATATCAGGTTTCCTTCCCCTAATGCATCACAATAAATGGATGCTTTCTCAACCACACACACAAGAAAACAGCCTTCATTCAATTCCATTTAATGGGTGTGTGTTTGCTGATCAGAAGAACCAGGCCAAAGTTTCCCTTGGTTTCAAACAAACTTAGAAAGAAAATAATTCCTAGCCTGGGCATGCGTCTGTTTCCCTCTTTGTTCCCTGTGCACAGTGAAGCAGGCGTCAATCTAAGAAAATGATATTTGTTGAGTGATGGTTTCAGATTAGTTTGATCATGATGCTGCCACAATGGGGTCAACTATTCCACAGGAGAAATCGACTCAGACACACACAAATAATGTTCAATCAATCAATGCAATTTCTTAACTATGCACCGTCTAAGGCAGGAGTGTGTGTGTGTGTGTGTGTGTTTGTCTTTTTATTGGACATGATTTTTTTTATTGGAACAGATGAGGGTTAATGTGAGGATTAGAGGGAGGCTGACAGATCTGTGATCTGGAAATACATCTACAGTTTGGATTTCCATTCCCTGATGGACTCATGTTTGTTTCCTGACTTGAATCCCGGTTATAATGTTATTATTATATCAATTAAAAACCTGCAGCTGGTACAATAGTAGAAAACATACCATTAAAGAGACTGGACTGAATCAGATACCTTCTGTTTGCTGGAAACACACACACACACACACACACACACACACACACACACAGTGTCTCCCTCTCTCATGATTCGATTATCTTTGATGAAAACAAGAGTCAAAAACAACATTTCATTCCATCCTGTTTTTCTGTTCCCTCACCAAGACAAACCTTCCATGCTGTGGCTGCCAACGTTAACATGAAAAACACACTGATCTGATTCCTGTTCAACACTAGAGGAAGACCACAGAGACAGAGGCTGACCGGCTACATGTCAGTACTGCATCTGACCTAGACGAAAAGGACAGAAAGAAAAATACAACTGTCTGCTTTACTATTTTTTTAAATCTCAAAGACTGGAAATTTACTTGAACTTGATTTCACCACATGAGTGTAGTTGTCCTTGTTACGTAACAAGCCAAAGGTAACGTTCTGTTGTTCTGATTGGATAAATTATTACTCAAACTACAGTTCAAGCTATTATAAAGTGATTTATAAGCTGGAGCTGCTTTGTTCATTTTATCACTGGTTTGCATGAATTTAACTAAAAAGAAAAAGAAAAAAGTTAATTTCATGCTGAAATCTAGTTTTAGGATGAAATTCATTCAACAACAACAAAAAATGTCCAAGCTCAAACTACTATTTGAGCACAAAGGATCATCACTGACCTTGGAAACAATTATCATCATATATGGTCACACATCATCAGGTGATAAATAAATCTATACAATAGGATCATGTGACAACTGAGTCATCCCCATGACAACTCGTTCCACTGAGGAAGACCATGACATAACATGTTTAATCTAAATCAATAAATATTGACAGTCAAAATGCAAATAATAGAAAATAAAGTACAATATGTAACGAATAACAAAATGTATAACACCATCACATGGTAAAAAAATCCAATGTATTGCAGATTCACAATTAAACTGAACATTAATGATGAGATGTCTATCTCGGAATGGATATATTCTATATTAAGCTCAATTATTTATTCATGTAGAAACGTTATGCTTTTGTTAGTTTGTTTTTGCAGAGAATAAAGAATGAATTCACGGTCAAAGCTGTAAAAGTGTATGACTCACAGAGGGATATGATACATAAAACTCTAGATATTTAAAATCATATTTCAAATATGTAAATTAATACTTCAGTGAAGAAGAAGAAGAAGAAGAAGAAGAAGAAGAAGAAGAAGAAGAAGAAGAAGGAGAAGAAGGAGAGGAGCAGCAGCAGCCAATCCAGTGAGTCCATTCTCAGCCAATGAGCGTCCAGAGTTAATTGTTTACGGAAGTCGTGGAGCCTCAGTTCTCCGTGGTTCTCTGTCAGACACGTTTGTTAAATTATTACTTTCTCCACAATTGATGTGGTTTCCTTGTTTCCATTGTTTTCCTTGATTTATCATCGAGAAAGTTTACAACTGGTCGACATATTGATCCACGTGTATCCGGCGTGATTTACACTTCCGTCACTGACTGTCTCTATAAACAAAACTCTCCGTGTTATTTCTTCGGTTGCCATGAACCCACCGAAGAGGCTCCGCACCGGGGGAGGTGGAGGAGCAGAGACACCGGGAGGAGAGCGTGAGGAGGCGGGGAGAGAAGTGGATGTGGTGGGTGATGCACTCAGTGACTCTTACAGATAGCACGGAGCTAAAGGAGACGCTCAGCAGAAGGGACAGGGCTCAGTAAGCTGGTCATAGGACTGAGTTATTGACTCGGGGGTCTAGATTTATCTAAACACTGACAAAGAGCTTCGTTGCTGCACATTTGAATAGAGACAAAGTGATTTGTGTGCTTGATCAATTATTTTTCCATGCAGTGTTCAAGTTTCAAGTTTTATTTGTCATATGCAGTCAACTCAAGAAGAAACCGGTCAGCTCAGCGGTGCAATACTTAAATAATTCAAGGTAGAAAGAGCTTACTATTAAAAAAAGTCAAATACAAAACTAATACTATAGTTTCAAACGTACATCGTGACATTCATTACAAATTTAGTAACAACTTTAACTGTATGGAGTGTGTGTGAATTGTCATTGCACATGTATATGTGTAGTTATTGCACCATCCATGTATCAGTTTTATTGAGGTGCAACCAGACAGGAAAACCGATGTACATAGGATTGTTAGTCATGAGTTGACTGCAAGTTTAAGAACCTGATGTGTAGTGATTGTCTCTTGTTCCTCTCCTCAGAGTATTGTCATGCCAGTGTACAATGCATCCTGCTGGCTGGATGAATGTCTTCAGGCCGTATCAGAGCAAGACTTCACTGGATCCATGGAGCTGTCTGTCTATGATGACGCAAGCACTGTACGTGTGTGTGGTTTCACATATGTAAACACCAAAGTCTCAGAGTATCAGATTTAATTTTGTGTTGTCTTGTGTTTGTACATCAGGATGACTCCAGGAAAGTGGTGGAGGGTTGGAGGAAAAGCCTGGAGACGAGAGGCATCTCAGTGGTTATCGCTGGTCACAACTCTGCTCAGCCAAAAGGAGGTCGGTTCACTCACTTACATCCAGTATTTTTTGCGTAATCCTGATAATAAACCAACCATCCATCAGACAATCAAACTAGACTGACACGCAGTAGAGTTCATACCTCCTTGACATTCTAATTGAATCCAATCAAACTGCACCAAATATCACACATATATCATATCATTTCCCTAAATTGCCTGATTTTCTATCAAGATTTTAAATTATTATTATCTGGGAAATCTTTTTAAAGAAAAGAAAAACACCCTATCTCGCAATGTTTAAGAAAGTGAACATTTTCCTGACCCATTCCACATCGTTCCATTTCTTCCTATTCGTCTGAGGCAGCGGAGGTGTCTGTGTGCACTGTATAAGTGAAAAGATCAATGAAAACTATGGTAGACATTAAACATGAGTCAGAATTAAAGATGCGTTGGAAGAGCTTGACGATCACTGTGACAGAACATCTGTCTCATGCAACTGACTGACACTTCTGCTGTTGCATGTTTTCTGTCTGATCTTTTGTAAATGACAATATGGCGTTTCCCGTCTTGTCACATGTTAAATGGTTGAATATGATGAGTGCTAGCACATGGTTGAATGGAAATATAATAATATGAAAGTCATATAGAAATGTGAAGAGCAAACACATTTAAACACAGACTTTACTGTTTGTTTCAGTGGGATATGCAAAGAATAAGGCAATATCTCAGAGCTGTGGGAAAAACTTGTGCTTTCAGGATGCGGTAAGTGTGTGTGTGTGTGTGTGTGTGTGTGT